TCATGATGGATTTTTGCTTGAACGCATGCTCACCTTCAAAGAGGTGGTCGTTACATACGACCATCCAGCCACGTGGCCTTAATCATGATGGATTTTTTCTTGAACGCATGCCCACCTTCAAAGAGGCGGTCGTTACATACGACCATCCAGCCTCATCGCCTTAATCATGATGGATTTTTGCTTGAACGCATGCCCACCTTCAAAGAGGTGGACGTTACATACGACCATCCAGCCTCATGGCCTTAATCATGATGGATTTTTATCGTACAGCCTGTCACCAAGGTTAATCCCAGGATTCCAACCATATAAGCTTAATTTGGAAAATAATAACTTGTAGAAATTTTAATATGCCATTTCATTCATTATCGAGCAAGGCATTTGATTACACCGGTGGTAATAAGTAAGAAAAAAGAAAAAATTCTAAGCATAATATTTCTTTAAGTTAGCCACATTCCATGACCTGGCTAGGGATCTTCCTTTAGCATCCTTCAAAGAGTATGCTCCTCCAGCGTGGACCTTTTCGACCAGGTATGGTCCTTCCCAGTTTGGTTCTAATTTCCCAACGTGTTTCAGCACATCGACCCTCTTCCACACCAAGTCACCCACTTGGAATCTTCGTGCTTTCACTTTTTTATCATGCGCTGCTCGCATCCTTTGTTTGTATGCCTCGACTCTGATTGTTGCTTTTCCTCGAAGCTCTTCGATTGTGTCGAGCGCTGCCATCATTAGCTGTTCATTCTATTCTCGATCATAGGTGCTCGATCTTTGGGACTGAACCTCGACCTCTATCGGTAATAACGCCTCCATGCCATATACCATACTAAACGGCGTTTCCCCAGTGGTCGATCGGGGAGTTGTTCTGTACGCCCATAGCACCGAAGTAAGTTCGTCCACCCATGCTCCCGATGCTTTCTCCAACCTTGTTTTCAGACCATTCAATATAATTCTGTTGGTCACTTCGACCTGCCCGTTGGCTTGCGGGTGTGCGACTGAATCGAAATGTTGATCAATTTTCATGTCCTCGCACCATGCCCTAATCCTCTTGCCATTGAACTGTGTCCCATTCTCCGACACCAACACCTTAGGAACTCCGAACCTGCAACATATGCTATCATATAGGAAATGTATCACTTTCTCCTCCGTGATTTTTGCTAGGGGTTCAGCCTCCACCCACTTCGTGAAATAGTCGACCGCGACAATCAAGAACTTCCTCTGTCCAGTTCCTTGGGGCATGGGCCCAACCAGGTCGATCCCCCATTGGGCGAACGGGATGGGAGAACTCATTGCTGTCATGGCTTCGGCCGGCTGGTGAATAAGTGGGCCGTGCTTCTGGCATTGCAAACACTTCCGCACCATCACCTTGGCATCTTCTCTCATCGTCGGCCAGAAATATCCTGCTCTTAGAGCTTTTGCTACCAGGGAACCTGCCTTGCTGTGGTCACTACAGCAGCCCTCATGAATTTCCTTCAACACATATCGCCCCTCTTCTCCGGCTACACCTCGCAAGTGGGGGCCCGCGTGCGACCTTTTGTAGAGGATCTCTCCATGCTCGAAGAATCTTCTTATCACTTTAACAGCTCCTCCCTTTAATTCTTTCATTATCGACGCCCTCCAATCCTCCACTTCTTCTATCTCAACCACCTCCTTCTCGACCACACTCTTCTCCATGTGCAGCAAGGTCACACTTCTGCTCTTGCAGTCCACCAGACTTTGTGCCATTTTAGCCAACAGATCTGCTCGACCATTTTCTCCTCGAGGTATTTGGATTAATTCGAAGGAATCAAATTCTCCCTGCATCTTCTTTATCTCCTCCACATACCTCATCATCCTTTCCTCCCGGACCTCGAACCCCTCTTGGAATTGGCCCACCACCAATTGTGAGTCTGAATGCACCTGCACTGCTCGAGCTCCGCCACTTAAGGCCAGTTTGAGTCCTTTAATGACCGCTTCGTATTCTGCTTCATTGTTTGATATCTGGTAGGCCACCTTAATCGCGAACTCCAAGCTGTCACCTCTCGGCGATATAAGTATGATGCCTAGGCCACCTCCAGCCCTCGACAACGATCCATCTGCAAACACTTGCCATATCCCCTCGAGCTCCTCGCTTTCCTTCGTCCCCTCTTGAATAAAATCAGCCAACGTTTGGGCCTTAATTGCTCTCCTTGGCTCGTAGATAATTGTGTATTCACTCAACTCGACCGCCCATTTGACTAACCTCCCCGACACGGAGGGTCGACCCAGTGTTTCTCCCAATGGCATGTTCGTTCGGACCTTCACCCTATGCTCCAAGAAATATGGTCTCAGCTTCCTTACAGTGACCACCACCGCCAAGGCCCCTTTTTCGATCTCTGAGTACCTCCTTTCCGCCCCTTGCATCACTTTACTCACGTAGTAGATAGAAAATTGGGTTGTCCCTTCCTCCCGCAATAACACAGAGCTCACTGCCGTCTCACCGATAGACACATATAACACCAAGTCCTCCCCTTGCGTCGGTTTTGCCAATAATGGTAGATCGACCAACATCCTCTTCAGCTCCTCAAATGCTTTTTGTGCCTCTTCTGTCCACTGGAATTTCGAGCTCTTCTTGAGTGTCTTAAATAGGGGCCCGCTCTTCTCGGCTACTTTAGAAATAAAACGGCTCAGGCCTGCTATTTGACCAGTTAAGATCTGCACCTCCTTCACCTTTGTGGGGGGCTGCATTTCAATCACCGCCCTCACTTTCTCCGGGTTGACCTCAATCCCCCTCCTCGTGACCATGTAACCAAAAAATTTTCTAGATTTGACCCCAAACGAGCACTTAGCGGGATTCAACTTCATCCCATAATTCCGGAGGGTCATGAATGTTTCTCTTAAGTCGTTCACATGGTCGATTTCCTCTTTGCTCTTTACCAGCATATCATCCACATACACCTCCATGTTCCTCCCCAACTGCTCTTTAAAAATTTTATCCACCAACCTCTGATATGTCGCCCCCGCGTTCTTTAGACCGAAAGGCATCACCACATAGCAGTATGTTCCACGGCTTGTTACAAAACTGACCCTTTTCCAATCCTCACGAGCCAGCGGGATCTGATGATAACCCTGTGATGCGTCCATCAGACTGAGTAGCTCACACCCGACTGTGGAGTCGACCAGCTGGTCGATCCTAGGAAGCGGGTATAAATCCTTCGGGCATGCTTTGTTCAGATCACGGAAATCAATGCACATCCTCCACTTCCCTTCCGCTTTCGACACCATCACCGTGTTTGAGAACCATTCGGGGAATTGAATCTCCTTAATATGTCGTGCCCCCAACAGTTTCTCGACCTCCTGCTCGATGATCTTATCCATCTCCGCCCCATGGTGCCTTCTCTTCTGTTTCACCGGCTTCACGCTGAGGTCGATGTTTAGCCGATGCTCGATCACCTCCGCACTTATCCCCGTTAACTCCTCTGCCGTATAGGCAAAAATATCCGTGAACTCCCTAACCAACTGGATCAACCTCGACCGAATAGGCTCTCCCAGATCCCTTCCAATCCTGAACTTTTTCCCTTCACATCCCTCGATCATTTGAACCTCCTCGACTTCCTCCCCAGGTTGGATATCCATTTTTCCTTACCTTTCTCCCCTTTTTGCTTGTCCTCCTTCGACCTCGATCCTCCTGGTCGATTAACCTCCTCCCTCTTCGATTCGGCCTGCCTCTTCGCCAATTGCTTGTTATTGCTAACTGTCGTTTGGTAGCAACTTCTCGAAGTGAGCTGGTCCCCGGAGATCTCCCCTACGTTTTCACCCACCGGATATTTAATCGTCATGTGGTACGTGGATATGACCGCCTGGAACGCATTCAAGCTCGTCCGCCCCATGATGATGTTATAGGACGACTCAGCCCCTACAACCACAAATCTCACCATACGCACCTTTCTCAACTCTCTCGATCCCAATGCCACGGGCAAACTAACCTCTCCCATCGGCATAACTTCTCCCCCATTAAAGCCATAAAGTGCCGTGGTCACCGATTTCAGCTCCATATTCAGCTCCTTGTTAATCTGCACAAAACAGTCGTAGAACATCACATCTACCGAACTCCCAGTATCAATGAACACCCTCTTCACGTCGAAACCTGCAACCTCCGCGGTTATCACCAAGGCATCATTGTGCGGCAGGACCACTCCCTCGGCATCCTCCGCCTTAAAACTTATCACTGGCATGCGGGTCGCAATACTCACCTCTTCCCTCTTCCTTTTCATTGCTCGAACGTGGCCTCTCCTCGCATTGTTCGAGTCCCCGTCAGTCGGTCCTCCTGAAATCATATATATTGTGCCTCTTTTTACTTGGCCTATGTCTCCTTCTCTTTCCCGCTCTCTACTTCCTCGCCTCCTCTTCCCCTCATCTCTTTTTCGACCATCTCGACCGCCTCGCGTATCCTCATCATCATCTTCCTCACTCCTCTCTACCGAGTCCTCCCGACACCTTCTCTTCTCCTTCCTCCTCCCCTTATCCTGATAAACAAACTCCTTAAGATGCCCTGCTCGAATAAGGCGCTCAATCTCGTCCTTGAGATGACGACAATCCTCAGTAGTATGGCCATAGTCTTTGTGAAAGTGGCAATATCTCCTCGACTTCGGTTGGGTGGGTCCCTCGAACCTCGACCTTGGCCACGTCACATCTTTCCCATCTATCCCTTTTTCCATAGCCATCAGAACCTCGGCTACCTTCGCGTTCAGGGGGGTGTAATCATGGAACCTCTTCCCTCCAGAGATAGGTCGGTCCTTCCACCTGTCTTCTCGCCCTCGATCTTGCTTAACTCGCCCCTCCCTCCTGGGCGAGGTTTTCCTTTTAGGCGACACTGCTTTCTCCTTCCTCGACTCCCCTCGACCTAGCTCCTCCAGTTTGGCAAACTCCGCCTCAGTCTCCTCGAGATTGATATATTTCCTGCATCTCCTCATTACCTCATCATACGTCTGAGAAGGGGTCTTAGCCAGGGAAGTCCGACACGGTCCTGCCCGCAAACTCCTTATCAGTCCTCCCGCCTTGACCTCATCGACCGCCGATAGAATCTCCAAACAAGCCTGATTGTATCGAGCAACATACTTACGCAATGACTCTTTCTCGCCTTGTCTCATTGCCATCAATGTCAAATACATTTTCTCCTGAGCCACCGCGCTCGAATATTGATTTGTCAACTTCTCCGCAAAATCCTCAAAGTCCACTATCGAGCCTGGGGGGAGCTGTTGGAACCAGTCGAGCGCCCCTCCCCTAAGGGTTGATAAAAAGGACCTGCAACTAACAGGGTCAGTATATCCATGTAACACAGCCATATTTTCGAATGTCCTCACATGTCTCGACGGATCAGAAATCCCATCAAACACCAGGTTAGTATCCTTGTAATTATTTGGCAAGGGTGCTGCCAGTATGTCCGCCGAGAACGGGTGTCCTCGAGCGCGCCTCTCTGCTCGACCATCCACCTTAGCCTGCAATTGGCGCAGCTGTTTCGCCATCCTCTCCATCTCCCGGTCATGTGTGGGCCCGCCTCCGCCATAGCTGGATTCATCCTCCTCCGCATTTTGTCGTGACCCTGCAATAGTGTTCGGCGTCGTCATAGCCCGAGAGAGACTGTTTGTGACTTGTTGAACCGCCTGCGCGGCCGCCTCCGCCACCATTTGTTGCGTCTCCTGCCTGGTCATTATCACCTGCTGTTCGGGGGCCTGAACCACCGCTCGCGGCGGTGCTCCTCCTTGGGCCCCCGCTCCTTCTGGTTGCGTCCCCGTTCCTCCCGGTTGCGCCATCGTCGCTCTCAGTTGCTCTCCCCCTCCTCCTGGCTGCGCTGCCGTTGAGCTGCGGGGCGGTGGTGGTGGCATCGCCGCTGCGTCCGCTGCGCGGGCCTCGTGAGCACGGCTGGGGCCAGCGTCTCCTTCGGGGATCGCCGTTGTCATTCCCACACCTTGGAGCACAGGCATGGGAGTGATCGGTGTCTGGGATAGACCAGAAAAACCCGGGGGAGGACCCTGCCCCAATGGTCTGGTCGTTGTCCAAGCATCATCGAATGTTGACTGTAAATTTTTGGGAATTTCGTCCGCCATAGCTGAGCTTCAAGCACACCTTTTCAAACGAAAGTCCCACAGACGGCGCCAAATGGTAACACAAAACTCCTCGACCGGCTGGAACTTGAGTAATCGCCTTCCTTCTCGCCGGTTGAACGTCGTGCACCTACAAAGAACTCCCACACCGGAGGGGTTTTCCGGTGAAGAGCCTCCGAAGCTTAAGTCAGTGTATATTCAATCAATTCTCAAGAGTAAGTAGTAGAATGATCGTGTTGAAGAAGAAAGGCTCACCCCCTTTATCTAGGGGTGAGATACCTGACCTAGGGCTGCCCGGATTTGATGAGCTGTCTGCCCTAACTGCCCGTCCGTACACATCAAACGCATGTGTCAGAGGTATCCGTCGCCACTATCTCCTGCACCAATCCTCTTTGGACGCGTGTCCTCCGGCACATGGGGTAGGCTGTCAGAGGTGGTTATCGCTATACACCTCTGCCTTCTCGACACGTGTCCCCCTGCACATGGGGTAAATATTCTCCTGGAATTCTGTCAGGGGCTTCCTTCACGCGCCTATGACTAGGCCGATCAGCGTGGTGTTAAGTCCTCGAACTAATCGACCTGCTGAGGTCGAATAGGTTGCTCGATCGCGTATCTGGTCGAAGGATAGTTTGGTCGACAGTCTTGCTTGGTCGACTAGTTAATTGCTCGATTTCTTTGGCTTCCTCATAATGTGACCTCCCCGACCGGTCAACAGACCGGTTCAGCCATGTGGGTATAATATCCCATATCATAGATAAATATGGTTTAATGTGAAATTGACAATAGAAGAAAGCCACTTATTAAAAAATATAATAATGTTCAAGCTCAATCTTAGATATAATGCTTTTTAGGAGTTAAGGTATATAGATAAATATGGTTTAATGTGAAATTTACAATAGAAGAAAGCCACTTATTAAAAAATATAACAATGTTCAAGCTCAATCTTAGATAAAATGTTTGAAAGTGAGTTAAGGTATATAGATAAATATTGTTTAATGTCATTATGTTTGAAAGTGGAAATAGAAGAAAGCCACTTATTAAAAAATATAATAATGTTCAATCTCAATCTTAGAAAAAATGTGGATTATGAGTTAAGGTATATAGATAAATATGGTTTAATGTGAAATTGACGATAGAAGAAAGCCACTTATTAAAAAATATAACAATGTTCAAGCTCAATCTTAGATAAAATATTTGAAAGTGAGTTAAGGTACATAGATAAATATTGTTTAATGTCATTATGTTTGAAAGTGGAAATAGAAGAAAGCCACTAATTAAAAAATATAATAATTTTCAATCTCAATCTTAGATAAAATGTTGATTAGGAGTTAAGGTATATAGATAAATATTGTTTAATGTGATTATGTTTGAAAGTGATAATAGAAGAAAGCCATACTTATTAAAAAAATATGATAATGTTCAAGCTCAATCTTAGATAAAATGTGGATTATGAGTTAAAGTATATAGATAAATATTGTTTAATGTGATTATTATGTTTGAAAGTGATAATAGAAGAAAGCCACTAATTATAAATATAATAATGTTCAATCTCAATCTTAGATAAAATGTGGATTATGAGTTAAGATATATAGATAAATATTGTGAATGTGATTATTATGTTTGAAAGTGATAATAGAAGAAAGCCACTTATTAAAAAATATAATAATGTTCAATCTCAATCTTAGATAAAATGTGGATTATGAGTTAAGGTATATAGATAAATATTGTGAATCTGATTATTATGTTTGAAAGTGATAATAGAAGAAAGCCACTTATTAAAAAATATAATAATGTTCAAGCTCAATCTTAGATAAAATGTGGATTATGAGTTAATGTATGTAGATAAATATTGTTATTATGTTTGAAAGTGATAATAGAATAAAGCCACTTATTAAATATTATAACAATGTTCATTTATATATTATGAACGGTAATTTAAAGAATAAATTACATTATATCATAAGATATAATATTGGTTTAGGGTTTAGGGTATGTGAAGGGGGGCATGCGAAATCGCATACCCCCTTCGCACTTCTATTCGAAAGCTATTTTTTATTTCTTTCATCTTTCAATTATGCGAAGGGGGTATGCGAATTGCCGCATATTGCTCGCATATTACCTCCTTTCGCACTTCTACTCGAAAGTTTATTTTTATGTCTTTCATCTTTCAGTTGCGAGGGGGTATGCGAATTGCCGCATATTGCTCGCATACTACCCCCTTTCGCACTTCCTACTCAAAAGTTTATTTTTTTAATTCATTCATCTTCCAGTTATGCGAAGGGGCTATGCGAATTGCCGCATATTGCTCGCATACTACCCACTTTCGCACTTCTACTCGAAAGTTTATTTTTTATTTCTTTCATCTTTCAGTTATTCTAAGAGGGTACGCGAATTGCCGCATATTGCTCGCATGCTACCCCTTTCCGCACTTCTACTTGAAAGTTTATTTTTTATTTCTTTCATCTTTCAGTTATGCTAAGGGGGTATGCGAATTGCCGCATATTGCTCGCATACTACCCCCTTTCGCACTTCTACTCGATAGTTTATTTTTTATTTCTTTCACCTTTCAGTTATGGGATGTGTTATGCGAATTTCCGCATAGTGCTCGCATACTAACCCCTTTCGCACTTCTACTCGAAAGTTGATTTTTTATTTATATCATCTTTCATTTATGCGAGGGGGTATGCGAATTACCGTATATTGCTCGCATACCCCCTTCACACTTCTACTCGAAAGTTTATTTTTTATTTCTTTCATCTTTCATTGTTTAATTTAGTTTAATTTTTTTCTTTCACGTATAAGAATATACTCATACATACATACATATAACAAACAACAAAATGCAACAAACAACAAAAATATAATAAAATGCTAAAAAAAATGCATTACATGATTCATTAATAAACTAGGGCGGGAACTGTGTTTCCATCTGTACTAAACTCAAAAATTTCCATAGCCAATTGGCGCATCATTTTCTCAGCCCACTGCTTGTTAGACTTGCCTCTGTGAATCGTCCCCGTTATCAATGCTCTTACCATCTCCACGACGCATACACTACAAGAAATTTTGTCATGTTGCAAGATAGTATTTTTGGGCTCCATGAATTTCAATTCGAACTTTTCTCTCACTCCCTCTACTCCCGCATATGTGGCAATCAGTGGAATTCCTTTTTGGATCTTTTGGAGTCCTTTGACGCGTGATTCGCGAATGTGCTCGTTCTTTTTTTGAAATGTATGCCGTAGGGGGTCAAACATACGTATCGTCCACTCGCGTAAAAAGATCTGGACAGTTACGTAGTGTTGGGACAAATTCACTACTCCAATAATCTGTTGAATTGAGTTGTGAGAAATTCACTAATTTTTTTAAGAAAGTTTGCAATATTAATTGATTCAGAATCATTGAAAACTTACAAATTGAATGTCGCTCCAAGGATACGGATTCCCCCAACCGTTGACCCCCTCATTCACAATGCGAATCAAAGATCGGAGGGTCTCCGATTCCAGGTCCACTTCCCCCTTATCGATCTCCTTCTCCAATTCATCCAGCATCAACTATATAAAATACAACAAAATAATAAATAATAATGTTATGAATATAATAATTAATAAAAATGGAATGACAATGAAAAGAGAAAGGATTAAAATAATCTCACAAACAAAGGTAGTCGACACGATGGTATAAGTGCCCAACATCTTCATCGGTGGCTGCAACTTCAAAAATTGTGGATTGCTTTGCATAATCCCCAAGTATGCATTCACGTGTTGTTTTATAAAATCAAACCAAAATCATCCATCAATTCATTTTTATACGCTAAGATTTTACAAGACAAACATATGCATACCTCGTCCGACATCATTTCATCCAGATTAAGCAACAGCTGAAACCACTCCCGGCCCACCTCATATAAAACGCCGACATTCCTCCTATTAAATAATATAATAAAAAGTTATTTTTTTTAATATAAACAATAAAAAATCTTTTGGATGTACTTACATTTCTTTGTCTTCGGATGCAATGAACCGATCAAACGCGCGCTCCTTTCTGGCACACCGTCTGTAGTCCTCGGGTAGATATGGACTTACAATAGCACGTCCTGGTCGTCTTTGTCGATCAACATTAATCTCGAAAACGAGGACTGTGGAGAAAGAGCGGTGGGATCGACGTCTGTCTTGGGGAGGGGATTGGGGACTAGTGGTGTCTCGGATGTGGAGGTGGGATCGACGGCTGCCTTGGGGAGCGGATTGGGGATGAGACAACACGCAGGTGGAGGTGGGATCGACGGCTGCCTTGGGGAGCGGATTGGGGACGAGGGGTCTCTCGGAGGTGGAGGTGGGATCGACGGCTGCCTTGGGGAGCGGATTGGGGACGAGGGGTGTCTCGGAGGTGGA